CTAATGGAATAAACAAATTAGTAAACAAATCAAAAAATAATAAGTCAGAAGAAGTAGTAGCCAAACAAGAAATTGATCTTTGCATCTAGAAAAGTCGTGATCTCAGGGAGGACCCCAGAAAATTCTGAGGTAGCACAGCTCCTGAGTATAAATCTATTTCTAAGACAGGAGAGAGGTTTGATGAAATTCAGAGGCTTCTAACCAACATTCTTCATTCTAGAGAAAAAGAATTGCTCTAGCACAGAAGACAAGAGCTCTAGCACAGAAGACAAGAGCTGCAGCCCTGTAGAAAGCTCAGGAGAAAGATTCCTTGATTCTGGAAGGATGTGAAGGTCACCTGGTAATTGGGGTTGGGTGGTTGCCAGGGCTTGCCATTGTCCAGGGAGCCAAGATGCACAGAAGTGTGATACAGACTTGGCTGGAGGGAGTAGACCTGGAGATGTGACGTTTTGTGGAATCTCCCCCCCCAAAAAGAGCAGAACCTAACTTCCAAGAGAAGGCTATTGGCCAAGCCCTTTCCCTCCTCCCCATTTTTTTTCCTAGACTGTAGAAATTAGAAAATCTACCACCAGAAGATGTTAAGCTCCAGATAATATGAGAAGAATAGCAAGAAAAATTCTGCCACTATTTCAAAGTAAATAAAGGTAGGCAGAGCTGTATCCATTAAACTTCAACAAGGTGGTAAGATGTGGTCTCATGACCATTCACTCTACAGAGGACAATGACAGATAACAGAAAGGGAATGTGACTGGTAAAAGGCATGTGGAGGGCTTATTTGGTTGAAAATATATCCCAGGAGCTACCTCTAAATTATTTTGGATAATAGAAGAATTTAATGACTAAATTTAGGAAAATAAGACTTCAAGATAAGATGATTTAATGAATCAAATTTAAAATTATTTCAGAGCCAAGGAAACAAACTGAGAAGCTTTAAAAACATCAATGTTCATAACTGAATTCATAAATTAGAGGTAAGGAATGCTGCAGACACCACTGAAAATTCAAATTATGAGATGATGGACTGAAATTATTCCTGGTAAACTCACAAGAAGAAGCCAAAGATTACTGTAGGCAAGAGGAGCAACAGCTACCAAGGCTGAGGATGATCCAGTATAGTGATAGATGATGTCTCTGAATCAGGCACCCCAAAATGAAATAGAAGACATACTCAGAGGGAAACAACTTACAAATCTTTAGATCCAAAGGGCATCAGGAAAAATTATATGCAACGGCTGACATTAAGTTGTATCCTGGTTCAGGTATTGAACTTGGAGGATAAACAAAGACTTCTTCAGACATTCAGGCAGAAAAAGCCTGCAAGGGGAAAAACATCAGGCTTCCCGGGCTCACTAAGAGAAGACAATGGAGCAATGTCTAGAGAGTTCTGAAGGAAAGAAAGCAAATCCAAAACCACTGAACTGGTGCAATTGCTGTTCAGGCTGAGAGTAGCAGGCAGCCAATGAAACGGATGAACTCAGCGACGCAGCACCTGTGTGCTCTTCTGGGCCAAAGCCCCACCAACCCAAGGTCGAATTAAAATGAAGACCTGGGAAACATGATGTGCTTAACAAAAACAGCAAGTCAGAGGAAAGGAGATGGGAGAAGAGGAGTGCAAATTTGGCTCTTTAGTTTTAGTCAATTCACTGTTGGTCATTTAGATGGTTTCCTGTCTTTCACTATTATAATCCATAATGCAGTGACTTGTTTTATAAATAAGTTTTTGTGCACACCCATAATTCTTCCCATAGGACAAATCATAGATGTAAAGCTGCTGTGAAGGAAACTGAACATGTTTTTAAAAAGGTGTTTGACATATTTTTTAAGAAGAAGAAGTCAAGAGCTCCCTTTGGCAGCACATATAATAAAAAAGAAGAAGAAATCAAAATTAAAACAAAAAACTGTAAGAAGCATAACCAATTCAATCATGTCTTGACCTTTTTTTTTTTTGGTACCAGGGATCGAACTCAGGACCCTGCACTTGCGAGGCAGGTGACAGAACCACTGAGCTACATCCCCGGCCCCATGTCATAACTTTTAATCACTGTTTGCTTCTTTGTTTTAACCTTGGAGGAATGAATCTATTAGAACAAATATTTCTTTTGGAAATACAGTGTTTATTTGAAGAATATCTTTCTGTTTTTTATCTTCCATGAAATTTAAATTAATAAGAATTTTTAAAATAGTTTAAATTCTTTTTATTCTAATATGGCATTATGCTAAGGTACTACCTAGCTCGTTCATACAACATGTATGTATTTAGAATTATTTGTGGATCAGACTCAGTTCTGGGCATTGAGAATACAGAGAGAGAGAGAGAGGGACAAGAAGAAATATAATACATTTATTTCTATCCATTCTCTGTTCCATTCCTATAGAGATTCAGAGTACTGCTCACTAAATATTAACACTGTGATTTCCAGGGGCTGAGATTTGCTGTGTCTTTTTTTTTGGTACCAGGGGTTGAACTTGGGTCCTTGCCCTTGAGAGGCAGGTGGTGGAACCACTGAGCTAAATCCCCAGCCCTGCTGTGTGTCTTTGAAGCTTCTATATTGATTAAACCTTAAAAAATAAAGCACATGTGTAATTTTTTTCAATTAAAATGATTGTTTTCTAATGTGATATGAAAGTTTTTTTTACGTATAAGGCAACTGTTCCAATTTAAACACAAATATGAAAGTGATGTGTGTTTCTTTAGGTTTATTTGATAGGAATTTCTGTAAATTGTTTCTATATTGCAGAGTATTATGCCACTGTACATTAAAACACACAACTCTGTAAGTATTGTTACTTGTAGTACACATCTACAGGGAGGAAAAATGATTGTTTTCTAACCTGAATATTTTAATTAATTGGAAATTGGAAAATTATTCCCTCTTATTTATTAATTTTGCAGTTTTTCACTACTGATGGTGCTGAATGGTTTTCCATACTTTTGTTAGTTAATAATATATTCTCTCTGTTGCAATGTCTGTTATACAATTTTCTATTTTATATGCATTTCTACCTTGGCTATTTTTGACATGTTTCTTCTTTGCTACAAATATTAATCCAGCCTTGGTTGTGCATATATTGTTATTATCAAAATAATCTTTTCTCCTTGTTAAAGAAAATTCAGATAATATAAATATATAGAAGGGTAAAAGGAAAATCACACAATTCCACCTATTCAGAAAATCCATTAACACCTTGCAGTACATATTTCCAGATGGTTTTCTATGTAAATACCAGTTGGGATTTTTTTCCCCACAAAAACATGACCACATCATACTGTTTTGCAATCTACTTTTCTTCACTTAATTTACTGTGAACATCCTTCCATGTTATTAAACTTATTCTGAAAGTGTGATGGCTGTCCAGTTTTATTGTTTGCCTCTTTCTTTTTAGTCAATTCACTGTTGGTCATTTAGATGGTTTCCTGTCTTTCACTGTTATAATCCATGGCACAATGAACTTGTTTTATAAATAAGTTTTTGTGTACCCCCCTAATTCTTCCCATCAGACAAATCCTAGATGTAAAGTTGCTGTGATGAAAGCTGAACACATTTTTTGAAAGATGCTTGACATGTCGAAAACCATCATCTAGCAAGGTTAATCAAATTGCAGTCCCACCAAAGGTAAATGGATCTTTTTGTCCTTGAAACTTGCTAAAACTGCATTCTTATAGTTTCTTAAGCCTTCTTAGAGGTGAAAAATTATGTCTGAATGTTGCTTTAAGATGAAATTATCCAATTACTAGGGAGGCTGATTATTTTTTGTGTATATCAGTCATTTTGGTTGCTATTTCAAGAACAACTTCTTTATGGTTTTTTGCCATTTAAAAGAAATTGGGCATCTGTTCTTGTTTTGGAATATTTATTTAGTAGAGATGGTCACCCGTTATATTTCATAAATCATTTTTCTGGTTTGACATTTAATTTAGATTATAATTTTCTTTTGTACAGAAGTTTTAGTTCTTTTTTTTTTCTGCAGCTGAATTTGTCAAAACTCTTCTACAAAGCACTAGGGAAGTATGACTACAATATACAAAAGTTTTTATTTCATTTCTGTGAACAAAGAAAAGCTCAAGACAGTGAATTCTTTCCTACCAAGTTCCAAAATGTTACTTCAAGCGCTACTCTTCCTGTTGAGGTTTGGATCACCTGTTTCCCTTACAGTTTGTGTTCATCTTTCCCCAACCCAGGAAGTTTGTGACCTATAGTGACCTACAGTGATCCATTTGTCTTGTCTGGGGCAACAACAATATACCAAGCCCTGTGGGCAGAGAGATCAGACAGATGAGGTCCAAGGGCTCCCATGGGCCTGCTAACATTTCTAAATGCAGAACGTGTGGCCCTGGGTCTGGACTCATCTCCAGGAAGCCCCAAGAGGGCAAGGTGATGCTCTGGGCCTGCAGAACCTGGGTGGTCAGCTAACAACTCCAGCCAAGGGTGCGAGCTGGGGCCCTGCTGTTGATGCTGAAGGTTAAGGAAGCTTGAGCCTCAGTGGCAAAACAAAACCTCAGATCCAGAGACCAAGAGGAAGTCAGAGTCTGGCAGGAAGCTAGAAAAGGGCCCTGAAGACTTAACATATTGGACACTCATAGCTGCAGACTCTTACTGCTCTTCGTTATTCCCAGATTTGAGAGACCACCTCTTTTCTCCTGTCTGCTTTTCAGTGTACTCTGCCTTGGGTCATGGTTCTGGATATGTAGGTATCAACCCCTCTTCCAGACTGTGGACCCCCTGAGGGCCAGGCTCATTTCTGGACACCCCCCTCCCTGCCAGCACTGGATGCAGGACTTAGTTTGCAACTCTTGCAGAATGAGTGCCTAGTAGGCTGCCACACGATTACACTCACCTAACAGCTACCAGACAGCAACTGCAGCAGCTGCTGCTTCTCCTCTTCTTTGTTATTGTTACTATTATTATTACTTATTCCCCCAAAGTTGCTTGCATTAATCAGACAGCTCACCCAATTTGGAAATTATAATTAACCAGAATCATTGACAAAATAGGGTTTTCCAGCTCTATTTTTCGTCTTTGTCCTAAAGATGAGATTTGTTGTAAATAAAGATTCTTTGTTACAGGTTATAAATTGCACATAACCTGTTCACAATTACAGTCTACTTGTAGTTCTCCTGAGGCTAGGGCTGTGGGCAGGACTGGCGGAGCACAGCCTTCTCGTCAGCATCCACAGGTGCATCCAGGGTCATCATGCCAAAGTGCTGTGCTAGTTATGAGGAATGGAGAGCAGGAGTGCTGCGTTCTGCTTGAGCAGAGGCCAGGTGAGCCCTGCAGTGCAAGGATCTACAATGGCACAGGCAGAAGTTCCCCCCAAGATCAAAGAGGCCAAGCAGAGGCTCAGAAAAAAGTGCCCTTTACTCAGAAGAGATTTGATGTCCAGGCTCCTGGGGTGGGAGGTTGTGAAAAGGAAGTGGGAGGTCACCTAAAAAACACAGCAGAAAATAGTAATTCCTCTGCTCCTGCTGCTATATGGTCTTTGTGTTGAGCATTTCAAGGGCAGCTGTTGTCTTTTATGTGGGCCCTGGCCTACACATGCTGGCTCAAGTTACCCTCCAAACCCAGCTCTAGCAACCAAGCATGGTCCACATCACTGTGCCAGCTGGAGCGAGGTCCCCCAGGAACCTCTGCCCCATCTCCCTACCTTGCCAGCCTGCAGAAAACCTCATGTGTGAAAGTTCTGACTTCCTGGGGAGAAGAAAGCCAGACTAAGACTGGGTATTGCTGAGAGCACAGTGCCGCAAATGCAATATTCCTTTGGCCACCAGAAAGGAACAGGGAACTGTCTGTTATTTTTTAAGATGTATCTTTCAAGCATCTGGCAAGTCACTGTATATAAAAGTAATGCATGTTCCAATGAAAGGAGGTTTCCCGTGGATAAAGCTGGCTATTCACTGTGGGGCCCAGTTTGTTTGACTTGAATGATAGTCAGAGATGAGTGCATATTTGACATTTCTTCTAAAGCAGAGTGGCTAATGCATTGCCAATCCCGTCACCAGGATGGAAAGCTGGTAGAGACCTCCTCTGTGTGTTCACTAGAAACAATGGTAACTTCCACCAGAACTATGTGCAACCACTTCTGGTGAAAAAACTCAGAGATCAGAATATTATTATTATTTTTTGTCTTCTAAACTAGGGGCATAAATGCCCGTTTACTGGTTTACATACGGCTGCTGTGCAGCTATGTTACTATGCACAGTCTCTTAGCCTCTACACTGTATTTGAAGCATTTATAAAAAGCAGTTGGTCAGACTCACATTTATGAAAGCCTTTAGGTCAGGGGTTGGCAAACTATGGCCCAAGGGCTAAATCCAGCCCATGTCCTGATTTTGTATAGCCTACGAGGTAAGAGAGATTTTTTTTTAACACTTCTAAATCATTGAAAAAAAATCAAAGAGTGATATTGTTTGAGGGGAGGGGGGATTGGCCATATGGAAAGCTTGCACATGTACTTTTATTTTTTTAAATTAAGTTTATTGGTATATTTTAGATACACATAATGATCACATTCATCATAGGGAATTTGTACCTGAATGTGATATATCTTGATTTTTATTTTTCCCCATTCCCCTACAGTCTCTTCAACCCCTCTTGTAACACTAAAATAATGATATGAAATTTAGCTGGGCATGGTGGCACACACCTATAATCCCAGCAATCAGGAGACTGAGGCAGGAGGGTCATTGTGAGTTTGAGGCCAGCCTGGGCTACACAGCAAGACCTTGTCTAAAACAAAACATTAAAAAAGATATGAAATTCAAAGTGCAATAAGCCATACACAAAAAGGTAAATACTGAATGAGCCCTCCTTTATGAGGCTCCTAGAACAGTCAAATTCATAGGGATAGAAAGTAGAAGTGTGGTTTCCAAGGGCTGGGACTTGGGAGTGGGGAGTTAATAATTCATGGGGACAGAGTTTCGGTTTGGGGAATTGAAAAAGTTCTGGAGATGGAAGGTGATGTTAGTTACAAAACGCGAATGTACTTAATGCCACTAAACTGTAAGCTTTAAAGTAGGGGAAATGGTAACATTTTGTTATTTACATTTTGTCACAATAGAAAAATTTATGAAAGTAAAATTTCCTTGTCTGTAAATCACACACAATTATGCCCAGTCATTTACATTTCACCTATGGCTGCTTTTGCTAGGAGGACAGAGCTGAGCCATTGCAACAGAGACTGGGAGGCCTACAAAGCCTAAATAATTTTAGTGGTCCTTTGAAGAAATCTTTTTCTGAGCCCTGGTTTACAGTCAGAAGACTTCAGAAGACCTGCTGCTTTAAGTGAGGGCACAACTTACCACAGAATACTAATTCTTTAACTGTTTCCTGGATAGTTTGAGGCAGAGCTGGATTTCCAATATCATCTCTTGTTACTGCACTGCCCTGGGCCTCAGTTTCCCATCTGTAAGTGGTGATAATAAGACCCTCTGTCATAGGATAAGAGTATATGTGTGCAGCTGTGAAGAACGAAAAGTTCTAGAGAGGGTGCTGGTGACGGTTACACAATGGTGTGGATGTACCTGATGCCACTGAACTGTTCACTTCTCAATAACTAATCTGCTAAATGTTATCATGTCCATTTGGCGACAAGAATAAAAAGAAAGCTGGGCGTGGTGGCACATGCCCGTAATCCCAGCACTCGGGAGGCTGAAGCAGGAGGATGGCAGCAAGTTCAAGGCCAGTCTGGGCTACATAGTGAGTTCAAGGCCAGCCTGGGCTACATAGTGAGTTCAAGGCCAGCTTGGGCTACATAGTGAGTTCAGGGCCAGCCTGAACTACAAAGAGAGACCCTGCCTCAAAAAACTGAAAGAAAGAAAGAAAAAGAAAGAGTAGATATACAGTGGTTAGATCAATAAATGTGAGCGATGATGGAGAAGATCTGTGGGAATGCTCATGACCTGAGAGGTTCCTCATTCAGCACACGCCCCTCAGCTCCTGGAAGCGGAGGCCCCTGCTCTTGCATTCTAGCACAGGGCTTTGTGCAGGGACAAGCAGGGGAAATCAGGTACGTACTGGGGTTCCTCTCACTGAAGGGAGCTACCCACTAAAGAGACTTGCTTGAATTCTTCCTCCCAGATGATACCCAAGTGGTCAAGGCATGGCTTCAGCTCTGTAGGTCCCCTCCCCACCCCGGAGGGCCCTCGGTACGAAACAATAAGAAAATAGCAGGCACTGCACAATGAATTTAGAACGCGGGGTGGGGGTGGGGCTTTTGCCGACATCCTGGGTTGATTTCTTGTAGTACCATGAGAAAATAGTTTCCTTTAGAGATGATTAAGAACATTACTGCTGCATAATTAATTGTCATAAAACCAACTATTCCACTTGAGCGATTTACTATTTTTAGCAAGATTTTCCAGTCTCTTCATTTTGTTTCCCAAATAATTGAGTGACAGCTTAATTAATAAGGCACGATCCCATCATTGCTCTCAGAGGCTCTCGTCTTCTTAGGAAAACCCATGCAGGAGGCAAACAAGGAGTGTGTGGCTGAATGAGGATGAGCAGGAGGGCAACTGAGTTCTGGGAAACACCTAGGTAAAACCTTACTGCTGATTTGTAAAACCACTGTGAAGAACTGTGGCCAGGGAAAGCCAGTGGAAGCCTTTAGGGATCATTCCCCCAAGGAAGGAGCCCAATGCGTGGAAATTGCCTGCAAGGAGAGGAAGTGCTAAGATGAGAGTTTCGCAATGCAAGCAGGCTTTGCTAAAAATCACGATGCACACTGCAAAGCAGCAGCTCGGATTTCAGCTTCTGAGTCTTGCCAGTCTGTGACCATCCGTCCCTCCATTTGAACAGTTTGGCAGTAACTTCATTCTGTAGATCAGCATTCTGCTTAGGAGACTTGTTTTTAGTGGGGGTAGGGAAGGGGGTTGCTGAGCCTCTTCTTGGCAGCCTGGCTTGGAAGTGGTGAGCGCCTTTCGCCCTAGTCAGGTCTGTAAAGACTACACTGAGAGATGAGAAATGTTAGCTTGTTTAAAAGAAATTCAGTCCATATGTGGGCGCCTGACAAGACTCATGGTATTCTAGACTAAAAACTGTGATGATCGCACTTTGTTTGGGACATGAGAGGGGGGAGTGGACGGAAATGGGGTAATTTTTTTAGCAAGTAAAGGCATGTTTAAAGCATAGATCTGAGAGAAGTTCTGTAAACACATTTTTACAAGCAGAATATTCAACTGACTCATTTTGGAGGGGGAAAGAAATGTGGTTGAAAAAGATTCCATTATGGAGAATACATCTTTTAGAATGAAGGTAGTGTGCTGACTCCCCTCAATTGCCAGGAAGAACATAAGGAGGACTGAGAGGCCCCCAGGAAGGCATGGAGAGAATGGATACAGTAGTAGAAACTGGGAAGGCTGAGTGGTGGATGCAGAGCATTCTGAACAGGAACAGCAGGCAGAATAAGGAGAAAAGAGGGTCTGGTGCCACACATGCTGTGATGTGTCTGTAAATGTTTAGCAATAAGTTCAAAAGAAAGGAAGAGAGAAAGGAAGAGAGGAAGAAAGAAAGAAAGAGAAAGACATCATATTATAATGATACATGAACACCCAGATATGTTTGTAGCAGCACAATTTGTAATAGCTAAATGTTGGAAGTAGCCTATCCATCCATCAGCAGATGAATGAGATAAAGAAAATGTGGTTTTTATACACAATGGAGTACAACTCTGGCATAAAGAAGACTAAACTTGAGTTATTTGTAGAAGACCATAATATTAGCAAAATGAATCAGACACACAGGCTTAAATATCACATGATTTCTCTTATAAGAGAAACACAAAGTATAAATAAGGAACAATACTGGGGACCTCTGAAACATTACCAGAAACCTCCGCAGTAGGCTCCAGTCTCCTGCTCAGTGTACAACTCAGCCCTGAGAAAAAACTAAAAGACAGAACTAAGAGAAACAGAAAGTGGGTGCCAGGACAACCAACGCCGCAGCTGATAAAGGCACTGACCAGTCTAAGCCACTGATTTTTATTGGTAATCAACTGGGGTAAAGGTGAGCTATGTGCAAGGGCAGTACTACTTGTGAGGATGCCCAGTCATGTGGTTTGTATGGAAATTAATGTTATCAAGGCTCTCGTAAAATACAAGACCAAGCAGTCTCAAATTAGGAACGGAATAGACAATATATGGTTGTAATTAGAACATTGTCCTTCTAGTTAAGGTTTTAGTTGTGGGAATGGAATTTGGGTGTGAATTACTCTGAGTCAGCACACAGGCTTCAGCCCATTTACTTCTATAAACTAGCCAATTGTGGGGTTAACTCTTTACAGCCTGCACTGCTTACAGCCTGCTTTGGGGCATAATCAATATTTCAGTCTCCCCAAGAACAAAATAAAAAATAGATAATAGAAAATAGGGAGATAGATCAAAAAGGAAAAAAAACAAAGATGGATGCAAACCAATAAGATATGTTATGTACTTGAACATGAGAAATGTAATCATATGTATTGCAAATGTGTACTAATAAAACTTAAAATTAATTAAAATATTAAAAAAAGAAAGAAAGAAAGGGACCCCAATTTGTAGCATTTGCTGATTGTCATGGTGTAAACACTTCTACCATGGCCAATTTGGAGCTCTCCCTGAGATTTCCCTGCACATGGCCTTGTCGAGACCTGGTACAGGTGGCTCCTACAAACCGGGGGAGCCAGCTCTAGCACACACACAAGATAAATATTGATTCTCCTGGATTGAAGGGCAAAATGGAAATGTACTTCAGGAAAAAGGACCTGAGTGGGGAAATCTATCAGGTATAAATGGAAGTGAGTTCCTGAGAGGGAGGCAGCCACTTGTCATTTTTCTCTAGAGGTAAGACGTTTCATTAGCAGCAATGTTTTAGGCTCTTTCTGAGAGTTTTCATGTGTTGGCAGGGGGAACATGAGTTTCTGTTGGATTGTCAGCAGTGTGACAGATATGGCAACAATTACATTCGGCAAGTGTTTGTTTAGGAGCCACCCACTGTGCCAGGCACATTATGTCTCTCCAAAGAACTCAATTTCTAGAAGCAGACATATAAACATGTAATTATTCTATGATAGAGACAGGTATGGGAGAATTAATTCTGACCCGGATGTCAGCACATCTGCCAACGAGCAGGGTAAACACAGCAGGAAAGAAAGCAGGTAAACTCAAGTTGTTGGTATCAGGGTGCCAAGCACCAACTATGGCATAAAAAATGATGGTGACATCTTATATTTCAGTGCAAGACAGTCCAGGCCTGAAGAAGAGAGATTACTCCAGCTCTGGAAACCACACTTACTACTGGGTGCCTTTGGCAAGTTTCTTAACTTCTCTAAAGTTCACTGCCCTCCTGTGTAAATCAGCATCTTGCAGAACCATGGTGGGGGTTACAGATCTCCTCACAGATCCTCTGAGCTATGCTCATGGAGACAACCACTGGGAGCTCAGCACCTGTCAGATGAGCCTGAGCCTGGAGTTGGAATCAGCGTGACCTTGAACGTATATTCTGCTATTAGGCACTGTGACTTCTGGTCACCCTTAATCTATTCAGGGCTTACTAGCTTCCTGTGTTCAATAAATGGGTTGGATCTGATGATCTCTAAGGATCTCTTCTATTAAACAACAGCTATGGTAACCAACCACATGCCTCACCTGCTGGGGCAGTCCTGGGTCACACCTGCTGTTCTGGTACAATTTTCATAGTGCTCCTCCCACTGTCATAAGCGTCCTTGTGTGATAATGTGTACGCCACCTTTAAGCACTAACATTTTTCAAATACTTACTCCTTGCCAGATAGTGTGCTTTATAAATATGATTTCATGACATAGTTTCAGCTTATAAAGATGCACCCTCAGGTTATACCACCGGAACCGACAGATCCAGATCCTGCCTGTCTAAAGACAGTGTCGAATCCCTCATAACCCCTGTTGCTCTACTGCCTCTACCAATATCTACAGTGTGCCTGTTCTTCTATTTTAGTCCTATGGCTCAGAAGAGGTTTCCAGAAACAAGTTCAAAACTGTGCTGCATATGAAGTTGCTTATCACTAATAAGCTTAATGCACCACTAACGAGCCTGGGCCCGTGGCACACACGGGAAGGCTTCCATGCATGTGCGTGACAGGACACAGGTCCAGGCATCGAGGAAGACTTACAGTAACAAGTTTGCCTTTTCAACTTGGCGCTTAGGGGAGGCCAAACTAATCTGGAACATTAGCATAAGTAGAGTGCCAATTAAGTAGTTGTGGTGGGTACAGGCATGTTTTGGCTTGATAATTGCACAGATGTGGGTCAGATCTCCAGGGATGCCCAACCCTGATGCCGAAGAAATCAGGAAGATCTGCAAGAGGCTTAAAGAGAGAACACCACTTCTCCAGGTACAGCTGGTTTGTTCAGCACAGGGACTTTGAGACAAGGTGACTATGTGAACAAAGCGGGGAGATGTAGGAGCCATGTTGCTTGAGAAGTGTCCCTGTATGTCAGATGGTGTTCTAGATACCGAATTTGAGCAATGCTTGTATGAGTCTTCTTCCTCCATGACTCCTAATCAGTGTCACTCTAACTACTTCAGTGGCCATGCGAAACCCCAAGGACAACAGGTCACAGCTGACCCTCCGTTAGCTTCCTTCCAACTTGCATGTAAGAGTCCTGGTTTGTCTATTTAAGGCTGGGGATTGGCTCCAGGCTTCCGAACATGACATGCTCATTATGTTAACATCTGTCTCCTCTGCTCCACACTATGTTACTGCAAGGAAGCAGGGCAGAGACACTGGCTCCGTGCACAGACGGGACTGTCAGGGCCAAGGAGGGGTGCTTGTTGAGGATGGAGCTGAGGCTTGAGGACCGTTGAGTCCAAATGTACATAGTTTCCACAGTGTCCTGAGAACCTGAAGGCTGAGCGCAGCTCTCAGGGCCTTAGGAATGAAGAGATGTGTCCAAAGTTGGGTAAAACAGTGGGTGCAGAGATACATCTCATGACTTGAGGTCCAGGCCACCTCAGACCCAGCTTCCATGGATCATAGAACTGCCTCGTCTCTGCCACTTCATATACTAAGCTTTTTTAATGACAGAGGCAGATTTATTTGCTTATGTTCCTTAAAGACAGCTCTTATCATTCTCACTCCCCTGTGAACTCTTTG